ATAAATAAAATAACATACCTGATATTAATTAAATATATATGTCTATATAAATATTCTATCTATATGTTCTATATAGATAGAATATATAAATAGCTATACATAAGTAGATAGATAGATAGATAGATATTTAATAGTAATAAAAAACTCATTTTCCAGTTAGGAAAAAAAGAGTTCTTTCAACATTGTGGCAGTTCTATGTTTTACCTTTGTTTTTTATGAGCAAAATTTTTTTTTCTTTTTGGCATATTAAGAATATCTGTCCATAGCAGACTTTTACAGATTATTTGATCTTTAATAAACACACTAGGCATTGACACAGATATTCTCTGAGACTAGAGAGTAGTCGATATGGAAACTAATTAACTTCTTTCTCTGTGCTAGGATGGGAAATTTTTTTCATTTTAAACTCTTCTCACATATTGCAGGTTGTTCACAGAAGCAGAAAGTTTATAACCAAATGTATTTGAGCATTTCTTAATATAAAAGTAAGAAGTTTAATTCTCTCAAACTGGGAGCATTGACCTGAATAATCTAAAGATGCAGATAAATGAAAATCACTTGACACGGAAACCTTGGTTTTATTAGTTGTTTTGACAAAACAAAATTAATGATTTGCATTTTCTGAGTATCCATTATCATGCTGTGTGTCAGAGAAAAGCCAACCTGAGATTTTAAATATTCCAAAGAGAGGCCATTAAATGAATAATTATATGTAGGTATTTAGTATATGGTATAGGTAGGAAGTTACCCTTTGATCAAAGAAACTGTTCAGAAGAGCATTTTTATATAAATTGAATCACATTAAGAAAACCAAGAAAGCCTTTTTAAATTATGCAGAGCTGCCTATTTCAAGTACATAATTAAAAAAAGAAGGTTCATTGCCTAGCTTCTATAATATTTTTAGCTAGTTTGTACTGTCTCAATACTAATTTTTTGAAATCCTTTGTTTCCTTGGTGAAGTGTTCCTCTCAGATACTCTTATCACCCTAAGTTTTCTTCACTCCATCTTCTCAAGATCTTTTCATCCCTTTGGCTCACATAGAAGGCATTACAAGAACAAGAAGCCCTGAGACTATGCAAACTGGTGTATTTTCACTGACACTAAGTCAGGTATTTCAGGGTGACCTTTGACTGGAGGCAGCAGGAGACACAGTTTTCTGCTTTTCCTGTTAGATGCCTTTTAGAGGCCTGTGGGCTGAGTCTCATGAAAGAAACTGCTAGAGAAATAGTCCCTGAACCTTTGAGTGCTGGGCAGCTGTGTTGGCTGACTTTAGCCTCTTCCTTAAACCTATCCCCTTCCTTAACATCATCCTTCCTATGTTTAATTGGCACAAAGTTTTACCTTCCGTCCTAACTTAAACTAAACTTTGACTTCAGCCTTTGGCATTTGGTTAGTGTTGAATAACCCTTATAACATTTTTTTTTTCTATCCTTGTTTAGTTTTGGTTATTGATGTTGCAACTTTTATTATTGGGGACAGAAATATCGTGTGACCACACAGTGTCCCTCTAGTGTATGTCTGGGCTATAAAATCTTCATCATCATATAAAATTTGCCAAAGAAAAGCTACTGTATGATGATTTCACAGGTGCTTATTCAGCAATAAAAGATAACCTCAAATGCTGACAACAACAGAATAATTTGAACACTCATGAAGTATAAATTTTAAACAATTGAATTTAAAATACATTTGTGCCATTTTAGCCCGAAGTATAGCACCACAAGGGAATTCTCTCAAAATGAGCTTATGTTAAAAGGTATTTTAACGCAATTTTTTTTGTCTTAGAAATTATTAAAGCTACTATAAAATGATAATTCTTTTAAGAAACTGTGCAAGTGTTAACTTTTATCCAGCTCTGCCGTAAAGGATAAAAGGTTCATCCAAGTTTTAAAATATTAATGTGCATCATTTTTTAGTGAACCTCTGAATATAAGACAGTATTAATATGAAACTCTGCAGGTTAATATGAAAAGATATTATGGTATATTCACTCCCTGCTTATGGAGTTACATGGTATCCGTACACGAGCATCTTAATGTCCCTTTATTACTCGATGCTAGTTTCCTTTATTCCTTGCATTTCTGCACCTTTTCATTCATTTCTGTAATTCTCACATTTTGTGTTTCCATAGCTAATTCTACAAACCTTAAAGAAAATTATGCTGATTTATTTAAATATTTTTTATGAAGAAAAATTTACACTTTTATGTAGAAATCTCTTCTAGAGAAAAAAAAATAGGTTCTTAAGAATCTACCCAGTACCAACTTATTTTTTATGACTGTTTAGGGGTATGTGTAGTTACTTTACATTAATTATTTTTTCAAAGCAAATAATCATAAACATTTAGCAAGGAGATTTGTGTTCTAGAATATTTTATATTTTGATCAAAATCAGTGGCTCATGAGCTTGTTTTTATGTGTATGGGAATCAGGAAAAGACCACATTATTTCATTTTTATCAATAGAATGGTTTAACTAGCTGGTGGTTTGCAGGAACACAGTAGTTCTCTTTAAACATTTTTAAAACGACTAGTGACATGGTCAGCCTTCTCTCTTTAGAATATGTCTCAGGACTGGAGAATGAATTGTAGCCTAGAAATGCTGAAAGTGGGAAGATCAGATATGTGATTGTACTGCCGTCAGTGAGAACATGTGAATGTCAGTACTTGAACGATGGCTATCATAATGAAAAGGAGGGGACAGATACAAGAAATTTGTGCATGTAGAACAGGGTGAAGGAGGTCAAGTCTATGGTGATGGAAGGAGAACTGACTCTGGGTGGTAAATACAATGTGATATATAGAAGATAGTATAAGTGTACACTTGAAATCTATATAATTTCACTAACCAATGTCACCCCAATAAGTTTAATTAAAAAGAAAAAAACTAGAACCTACCAACTGATTGTATGTTGGTCACAATAATATGTGAGGTTTGTGTCCTAAATGATTGGAACACTGGCATTTAACAAGGAATTCAACATAAGAAAACAAGACCGGTTCATATGCACCAAATCGACTGTGTGTAACTATTATACCATGTTATGTTTCAGTTAGTAGTCTGGAAAACAGAACTGAGAACGATCTCAGAAGCTTAAAAGAACGATTTGGGGAGCACAGAAACAGACATGCATTTTTACACAATGTATTTATTATTGTTAGCTGTTGGAATAGCAAAAGTTATACCTGTATTTATTAAGTACTTGATATGTATTAGGTATTTTAAAATATATTATCTCATTTAATTCTCACGTAAATCCTGAGAGCTAAATATTATTATTGCCCTTTTACAGATGAAGAAACTAGCCTAGAGAGGCTAACTCAATTGCCCAAGGCCACCTATCTAGTGACAATGTAGATGTACATTTTGAAGCTAAGCTGTTTGACGCCAGACCTCTTGTTCTCTTTGAGAACCGTTTCATTAAGTAGACGTCCAGATTAGAAGTGGGAAGAAGCCCGAAGGAGAATGAGGAAGATACTCAGATCTGTCCCAGACTTCAGAATAGCCTGAGGACTTTAAAGGGTTCCACAAAAGTTTTCAATAGATGAATTTACTTCCCTTTAATGAAAAATAACATATGGTAGCCCTAGCATCTGGATGGCAAGTGGAAAATACTTGGTATAAAAATAAGATAGTAAACTCTTCCCAGAAAAGCAAAGCCCGTGTTTGTGATGGAGAGAATATTCAATATCATTTCGGTTTTGACTTACAGCTTGCACATGCAGTGGACATGCAAATATTTGCCATATGCATACAGGAAAATGTTTCTGCACAACTAAAGGAATAAAAGGTGATCAATGCCAACTGTAAGTAAAAATGACTTTTTAGAATTTATGTGGATTGAATTTGTGCTGTACAACTAATTTTTGTAGGTTTTCCCTTTTATGTTTTGTGTTGTGCTAGTTAAGCAACCAGTATTATTGAAAGCTATGTTTTCTTGCATTCTATCAGTTCTCATAAAAAAATTAAGCCTTTTAAAATGACAGTTTTGTGGAGGCTGAAAAACAGAGCACATAGAATATGTTTGTCTTTGCTCTCTTTCTCAAAAAAGAAACTTTCTTATTTTTTCTGGAAAACATGTTACACATCAAATCTGCATTGTTATCTTTATAATTTTCCTGCATATTTTGTTAAGTAAGTTTCTCCAAATTCCATGTCTTATGCCTTTCATTATTGATTCTCACATTTGTAGTCCTTTATGTGGTTTCTTATACGCATCTTTTTCTCAGCTGCGTCAGTGCACGTGCACCCACTTCTTTTCTTACTGCACTCTCAGTAGTTCTGAGTGGTTGTTGCCTTTTTATAATTTAGTTGTTATTCTCAAGATTTATGCCCTTCAAAAGTAACTTGAAGAGGCGATTGTTGAATGTTATTTAATTTTTTTCTTTTTTTTAATTTGTATACACCATACATTATTAAAAGTGTTTTTATAGTTGTGAGTTGTATATATGTGTGTGTGTATATATATATATATATATATATATATATATATATATATATATGCAAGCACTTATGTTTATATTAGGTATAAATATACTATATTTGATACAAACCATAAATGTCAACTATAATACAGTTATAAAATTAATTTTCTCCAAAACTATAATTATATAAAAAATTACATCCATAGAAGTCTGTTAACAATGGAAAATGATCATTTTGTTTTTATTTAGAATGAATGTATTTTTGCTATAGAATTATCCCTGAGCATTTCAGGTTAGCTGATCATTCATGTCTTTGCCTGAGGTATTAGGTTTTCAAGTTCAGAGAAGGTGAGCAGAACCAGTTTTTATACCTTCTCCATAGTCTAAACTTAAAAATGAGATCAGAACATAAGGTTATAGGGAAATTCCTATTAAGGAAGACTATTTTCGTCTCAATACCAATGGAATTAAATCAGAGATCTTTGCTCTAAGACAAAAGGATGCCTCCAGTATTTTGCATCACTAAGTACTGGTTGTCCTAAGCAGGCCCAACTTCATAGGCATATGACTTGCACATTTGCACAGGGCCTCATGCTTAGAAGGGCATCGTACTTGGTTTAATGCTCTACTGTCGCCATCTTGAAATTCTTGATAAATTTTTAACAAGAGTCCTACGTTTTTATTTTGTACTGTTCCTTGTTTTCCTCTCCCTACTATGAGTTATGTAGCAGGTGCTGGACACAAGCAACAAATGCTTTATTTTTGCTCTGACATTCCATCATGATTATTATTAACACTGACATTTTAAATTTGTACTGCATGTCTGCATAAATGATATAGCCATCCATAATAATTATCTCTTATGTGATTTAGTAGCTTAGTAACATTTTGGTTTTTTCTCCAGATGAGAGAGAACAATATTTTAATTCATTGACTCATGGGCTTGTAAGCTTACATATACAGAGTTACAGGGTTTGGAACATGTATGAAATATTCAAAAAATAAATTATATAGTTCTGAATGATGAAAGTACATTTTGTCCTAGTTCTTATTTATGATTTTTTATAAGCAGAGGAAAAATTGATTTTTCTACTAATTTATAAAGAATTATTGTGGATTGAACTATATTCATTACTTTTTTGTTTTATTTAGCTAGCTTTTGAGTATGGGGCAATGAAAGATAGGTTATGGTTCTTCGAGCAGTAATTTCCTATAGTGTGCTTATACTGGAAAATAAGCTCTTGCTAGGAGCAAAGCTAGTCATTCAAATCAGTAAACAGTGGTGAAATGAGTGCTTGGTATTATTAATGAAGATAAATAACACATGGTTATTGCTTAGAGTATCTTTCAGTCTAGCAGTGAAGACACTAGCCAAAATGTAATATACTAATTTGAGATGCTTATCAACCCATCCCTCTTCCCAGGATAATTTCTGTTTGGCTTTAAGTATATAATTGGACATCACATATTCTTGTATATTTTTCCTAAGCCCCCCAAACTGAAATTGGTTCTCTTCCTATTTGTTAACCTTTTCCTTGCGTTATCTGTATACTTGCCTTGATCCTTTACTAGAGTGGAATTCTTTGGGGACCATTGCATCAGTACCATGATGTCAGTGTTCAGTAAATGTATTTAATGGAATGGAATGAAGAGAGTATCAAGCTGGGACTGAAAAGGGAGTGAATAATTTATCTTGGCGGGATTAGGGAAGTCTGAACAGGAGATATTTGAGCTGGAACTTGAAGGAGGAGGTAAATTGTTTTGGGTTGAGAATATAGTAAACAGTAAAGCAAAAAAGGTGAAAATCAACTAGGTCAAAACATTTCCAATGTTTGCTCAAGGATGTACAAGGTGTGACCAATCAATAGTGAATGTTTAAATAATAAAAATTTATTACAGTAAAAGACTCATTGCCATTAATCCCCCCTCGTTTCAAACACACTTATACCATCATTCTTGCCACTTTCTGAAGCAGTCCTGAAAGTCCTCTTTCGTGAGTGTCTTTAGTTGCACTGTTGTGGTTGCCTCCATGTCCTGAATCGATTCAAAACATTTACCTTTCATGGTCATTTTGACTGTGGGGAAGAGCCAGAGGTCACAGGGTGCCAGATCCAGTGAATAAGGTGGATGAGGACACACTGTAATGTTTTTATTTGACAGAAATTGCTGCATACCAAAGCGATGTGTGACACGGAGCATTGTCATGATGGAGGATGATTTATGGCACACTTCAAAACACACCTTCTCTCAGGGCCGGCCGAGTGGCTCAGTTGATTAAGAGCTCGCTCAAGAGTTTGAGCTCTGAGCAACAGCGGTTCGATGCCCGGTCCGAGCTGAGCAGCCGCTGAGCTGCCAACAGGTGGCAGGATGGCTCAGCTTAAAAACAACAACAACAACAACAAAATAAACACACCTTCTCTCAACCGTAGCTCACACCTGACTGACTGTACCGAACAAGTTGAAACTTGTCGCACACTGTTACTAAGGTTTGACGCGCCACTTCCCAAACTGAAGATTCCTGCCTTTCAGTTGGATGGCACTTGGCAGCAGCATTCACCGTGTTTTTTTTTATCACAGCAGAAAAGGCTCCGTGTCACACATTGCTTCTGGTATGGCAATTTCTGTCAAATAAAAACATTATGGTGTGTCCTCATCCACTTTATTCACCAGATCTGACACCGTGTGACTTCTGGCTCTTCCCCAAAATCAAAATGATTCAGTACATCAAGGCAGCCATGACAGTGCAACTAAAGACACTCATGAAAGAGGACTTCCAGAACTGCTTCAGAAAGTGGCAAGAACGATGGGATAAGTGTGTTTGAAGTGAGTGGGAGGATTATGAGGGGGATTAATGGCAATGTGTCTTTTACTGTAATATTTTTTTATTTAAACATTCACTGTATTTTGTGATCACACCTTGTACATTGGTTAGAATGGCTTTAATGCAAAATATTGATAATACCAAGTGTTGGGAAGAGTATTAGAAAGCTGGAAATCTCTTATAATGCTCATTGGAATGTAAATTAGTAAAGCCATTTTGTAAAACATTTTGGAAGATTCTTCTAAATAATAAAAAAATATGCTTTTGATATGACCCAGAATTTTAGTCCTATGTATGTATCCAAGAAAAATGAAAACGTATTTCCACAAAAAGACCAGTGCCAAAATACCTTGAGAACCTTATTCATAGACAGCAATAACTGGAAATACCCCAAACATACATCAAGTGATAAATTGATCAACAAATTGTGACACATCGATACAATGGAATATGCCTCCCAAGATGAATGAAGACTACAAGATGCGGCCACATAGGTGGACCTCAAACACGTAATGCTAAGTAACAGACAAAGACGACATGTTGTGTAGCTCTGTTTATAAGACATATCTAGAAAAGCAAAGTGATAGAGACAGAAATCAAGTAAGTCCATGTCTGGGACTTGGGATGGAATTGGAACTGACTGCAAAGGGCCAGCGGAAACGTCTGTGGGAGATGGAAATGCTCTTGAACCGGATTGCGGCATGGCGGCATAAGTCACACGTTTTCTAAGAATCTCCTTCTCTCCACGACCACCTGATAGCTGGGGGGCCCTGATCGAGTTATCTGACCTCTTCATAAATGATTTCCCTCAAGCCTCCAACGGGGATGTTTAGGATAAGTTAGAATGACAATGTGGACGTTCTCAGCAGAGTGTGTCGCACATTGTCAGCTAGTAGAATCTGAATCGGTTTCTCTGGACCTTTGTTTATCTGCTCTACTTGCCAAAACAAAATCAATATTTATAGTGCTGAAGTGTTTGTAAGCTGTTACATTTTAATTTACCATGCTTTATAAAAATAAACCGCACTTTCCAAACAGTATCAAAGTTTGATAATAGATGAAGTAAACTTTTAGTTATGAGTTAGTTTCTATCCGCTGAATAATCATCGTCTAAATGCTCAGTGTCATGAATCCATAAGCAAATGTTAATGTTTCTAATGAAATGAGAAGCAGCCAAGAATCTGCCATTGGACTAGGACAGAGTCACTATGTGTTATGATATGTGCTCTTACAAGTGCTTAACCTTGGACTGTATTCAGGAACTGCCCTTGAGTTTTCCCGTTTCTTCTTTATGGTTAATATTTTCCAGTTTTTACCTTAGTATCTACAGCAAAAACAGTTTTCCAATCACATCACATTAGTCCAATATTTCCTTCTAGAAAGAGTAAGCAAAAAGAGAAAACTTAAAAACCCTGCAAGCCGTTTGAACACAGCAGAGCCTCATCAGCAGGAAGACTGGTGGCCAGAGTTAAAACGCGTCACGATAAGGGTGTACCAAGTGGGGAAGGTCTGCCCAGCTGTGAGAGATCTCAGAGGGAATTTGGCTAAATAGGTTTTAGAT